CATGCACTGAACACTTTTGCAACACGTTTGTTTAGTTCTTAACAAACGTGTTGCAGAAGCACAACAAACTAGAGATAATTAATTATTTCTGGTATGCAATCGGAACGAGAAACCACTACCGGCATTTCAGGTTAAAGGTAAACAATTTAATAATGCGCTGCCTTTGCCGCCATATTTGCCTTGCCCATATCATGTTGATTGGCCTTGAGTTGAGGTGGTGCTGGTCAAATCAAATCGCAATGTTGCCAGTTGTTGGCTGGCGCACTAGCACGGTTCTGCAATGTGATTGGGCGTATTTTTCATACGTCATCAATTGGCACTTTAAAATTATTTCAAATTAAAGTAATTTTGAGGGCCTATAAAAAAAATTATTCAATGTCATGGAACTATTTTTTTTGGATAAATATACTGAAAATAGTCTTCTATTTCAGATTTTGTCCTTGAATTGGGTATTTTATTTTTTGTGAAAGTTGTTAATTGTTAATTTTTAAGTTTAACTTGATATAATGTCATTTTGACAGAACGTCAACGGTTTCTTGTAGACGTATCTGTTTTAAAAAAGTAAAGTGTTCTCGAATAGTTGAATTTAAATATTTTAAATAGTTTTCTTCTTATTCTTTGTATTTTTTTGTTTTGGTTTGGAAAGAGATAAAACTTTCCGAAACGTTAAGCATTTTTTTTTGCTTTGTTAGGCAAATTTGTATTACTGTAAACATAACTTCTGACAAGCAGCGTCCGTTTAGGTTTAACGCAGAAGTGTTTACAAAAAATAACTATTTTATTTTGTAGATTTTTTTGCAGTGCAGTGGCGAAATACCCATAAAGGATTTTTTTGGAGAAAAATAGTATTACTATCTGAATAAATCATCGTTTCTCCGCTCCGTTTCTGAAACTAAACAGACCGTAGCATCCTAGCGAAAACCAGATATTTTTCAAAGACGTCAAATTTTTCAGGTAGGTAACTATCAACACTGTAACCCGTCCTTTATTTTTTTCGCTACGTCTCTCTCTCTCTGTCTTTCGCCCTCGCAAACCGCGATTATTATTTCGGGCGTCGCGACGACGATTAGCGTCGTGTGCAACAAGCGGGCCCCCCTTCCCCCCCGCCCCCGTGCCGACGCTCCCATGTTTCCGTCCTTGTCGCACCCGATGCGAAATTTCAATTTTCTAAAATCGACAATTCCCCGCACCTTATACGGTCAGATCCACAGGAAAACGAAGAAAATGCAGTGGATCGTTTAAAATATCGTCAGATTTTCAATTTTCTATTATACGCTTGCAAATTTATCCGAAAATTTCAATGTGGCGCGTCCCAATCGAGGACACCTGTTGATCAGAAGATTCAACAAGTGGTCGTCGGATATTTTTAAAAAGCGCAATAATTCTCAACCTCTATTTCCCAAAATTAAGTCTTAACCATTAAATATATAACAAACTATTAAAAAATAGTTATTTCTATGCATATACTAGTCAGAAATTGTTAGAAAAACGCTCTGTTTTAGGCCGTTTTTCTGCATCTATCGCTGACGACCTGTTGATTCTTGATCAACAAGTGGTTGGTGAGTATGGGATGAAAAAGTATGACGATTAAAAGGCCTTTACCGTTGATGTTCTAATACGGTTTGTACTGAATAATATGGCTGGTGTGTTTTAAAAATGTTATTTTTAGAATCTATATGGTTTCGGGTTACCCGACGTTAAAAATATAATGTCTAAGACGTAGGCAATAATTATTTTAATCGAAGTCAGAAATTGAAAAATTGCGCGATCGGAAAGTGAAATTATTATACAAAATGGACGGAAAAATAGTGTACTGTAATACCGTATGATCGAAAAAAAATGGCGTCCAGTTGGCTTGGAAATGACGATCGATGACATCTCCAATAAAATTTTACATATAAAATGACAGCCATCTTCGTTTCATAGCCATCGCTGGCGCCGTTTTTATTCGATCATACGGTACTTGTAAGTATTGTACAATACTCGTAGCATAAATTAATCATTTTCAACGTTTTCTAAATTTGGTTTGTATATTCTGACTGTTTTTCGGTAGGAGTCTGCAATTTCTTGAATATTTTGATATTTTTATTGTGTACAATACCCAGTCTGTGATGTATATCTTCCATTTTCATGACATAATTGCATGCTTTTGTCTTTCTGATATTAAATTAGGATATCTGATGGAATTCAGGCTTGGAATTAAAAAAAAGTGTTTATAATGGTTTAGAACAGTAGCAAGACTCAATTTTAAGGCATATCTAAGGCATATTTAATTAAAGCCTTAAAAACATCAACAGCTCCTGTTGATTAAACACTTTGAAAATCGATTAAGCATTTCAACGAGGTGTTAAAATTTAGGCATAGTTACATTACACTCATTACAGTTGGGGGTTGGAACCTTTGGTGTTACAACAGCAAAATAAAACATTAAACTACCAGAAAAGTTCAAGTTCTTCACATCCTTCAGCGTTAATCAACCCAAGTTGGCAAATTTGAGATGTACAGGGTGGTCCGAATTGTATTCAGATAAAAATAAGTAAAAAATTAATTTAAAACTGCAGAAGATGCTGCCAACTGCCGCAGTTTCCCAAATACAATTCGAACCACCCCGTATACTCATTAAGTATATAGAATAATCTATACCGGGTGCGTCTCAAAAGTGGCTCATCTCTATAACTTTTTTATTTTTCTAGATAAAAAACCGAGATTTTGTTTGTTAGTAAGTAAGTATCTATACTAATATCCTTGTATATGAATTATATATAAAATCCTTGTGACTGACTCACTGATTAATCACGATCCTGCTCAAACCACTTAACGTAAAAAAGCTCAATTTTGGCATACAGGTTGATTCTAGGGTGTAGAGATTCGATAAGAAGGGATTTTTCGAAATTCCAGTTCCAAGGGGGTGAAACCACCCCTCAAATATTACAATATTTTTATTTTAAAAAACGGTCAAGTTTCCGAAAAAAACGCTTAAACACGTATATTTTATTTTGCTTTTTTACATATTTTAAGATTTTTTTAAAACGATCCTGCTTAAAGCGCTTGAGGTAAAAAGCTGATTTTTGGAAAACGGATTGACATTAGGGTGTAGAGGTTCGATAAGAAGGGATTTTTCGAAACTCGAATTCTAAGGGGGTGAAACCACCCCTCAAATTTTAGAATATTTTGATTTAAAAACCAGTGAGTTTTTCGGAAAAACTCTTAAACACTTATATTTTATTATTATATTGTTGTTTTACATATCTAAAAAAAATTTAAAAATTTATACAGGGTGTTTCATAAAATATGACCATTGAGTAATCACGATTCTGCTTAAATTGCTTGACGTTTAAAGCTGATTTTTGGCAAACAGATGGACTGTGGGGTGTAGAGGTTCGATAAGCAGGGGTTCCCCTTATTTCAAATTTCAAGAGGGTGAAAACGCCCCTCAAATATTACAATATTTCTTATTTAAAAAAAGGTTAGTCTTTCGGGAAAACGCTTGGACACCCATAATTTATTTTGTTTTTTACATATTTTGAAAATTTCTTAAAAAATCATACAGGGTGTTCCAAAAAGTTGGGTAATTCATTAACCACGATTCTGCTTAAACTGCTTGACGTAAAAAGCTTATTTTTGGCAAACGGATTTTTCGAAAGTCAAATTCCAACGAGATGAAACTACCCCTCAAATATTACCAAGTTATATAATAATATCGCCATGTTGTTTTTTCTCATGCTGACATAAATGTGAGAAAATTTTATCCAGTGTGTATGTTAATGGAAATTCTAGCTTTATCATCACCATTACAAAAGATTAATTCGACGCGAATGAAGTTGCGGGTACAAATATTTAGCAAAATAAAAACATTGATTCACCACATAAAACGAAAACATTTTACTTTTGCACTAGACGCGTCCTTCGCTAACCATGTTAGCAAACTAAGGAGTATTAATCGTCTGCTCATAATGCTAATATGGTTAGCAAAACGCGAGGGGTGTCTCACTCGGGTAAAAAATGTACACGTACTGCCAAAATAATCTTTCGCTGTCAAGCGACTGCCAATGACTACGAAGAAGACTGCCTATGACTGCCATGTAATTATTACAGGCGACTGCCATAAGACTGCCAATGACTGCCAGCGACTGCCAAGAAAATGTACATGTAATTCCAATAGTGAGACACCCCTCGGCAAAACGCGAGAGGTTCCAACCATGTTCCAACCCTCAACTGTTATCTAGCATATTTATTCATTATATTCTATCGTACAAAGCAACAATAATTTCTCCAACAGACTACATAATACCATAGAATAAATATTTAAAATATGAACAGATTTTTCTTATTTATCAGATACTTTATCAGAACTACTATAAAAATTCAATATGACCACCATAAGAAAACAAAAACATGACTGTTGTCCAAAATCTAGGAAATCTTTGGCAACGGTAAACGGCAGCATTTAATTTACCGCAGTCAAAAATATAAAACTACGAAATTAGGTTGCAATAACTGCAAAGTTAACTAATAATATTTAGTACTAATTTATCTATTAATAGTACAAGAAATTATTATTTATTTAGAATCCATGTTAGAAACTTTTAAACAATATGAATAGGGAACAAATAAAATTACACTATCATTTATCTATTAATACTAGAAAAATAAATTTTCTTTAAGGTTCCATGTTGGACGTTTAAAAACAATAATAACAGACTGCAAATGATCAGACCTGTGGGACGAAGGTCACTTTATAAATGTTTATTCCGAATAAATTTATGTTCAGATCAAAACACCGTCGAGGTGAGAGAAAAATGCAGAAATTTTAAAAATAGACCAACTAGTGACCTCTAACGGAACATTTAGGCACTTGCAGCTTTAGACAGTCGATCAGAGATGGCGCCACCAATGCTTAAAGTGAAAGAAACAGTACACAACACTAGATTTTAACGCTGATTTCTTGGTTCTTATCTGATAAGAATTAAATTATTTTAATGCCTAGACTTATTACTCACCAGTTTAGCATCTTGGCCGTCTGCTCTATAGATTGGACCGTCTGAAGCTGGGGACTGTCTGGAGCCGCCTCTTGGATGGTTTAAGGATCCATATCCAGACAAGTTCGTGTGGACACCGCTACCGGACACCGTGCTTTGCAAATCGGCCAGCAAGGCGTCTGAAACAAAGCAAAAACAAAAAAGTTTAATATTTATATCATTCATACTGCTTGGAATTTTTGTGAACTTTAAAATCTCGTCCATTTTTGTGAATATTGACAATTTTTAAAAATGAAAACTATCTGACTAAAAATATCTACTACATACAGCTATACAGCGGCATATTCTGCAGATAAAAAAAAGTTCATATAAATTTATGTCCTAAAACGCTTAGTTTCATTTTTATTTCGATTTTTTCCAAATAATTTTTGAAGTAACGTCAATATTTGGATGAAAAATGGTGTCTGAGAGTTTTTTGACATGAGAAATTTGATTTTGATGTCAATATTACTCCTATTTGTAGGGGCGCCACCTACATGTCTTTTAATTGTTTTGAAGAGTAATAACTTTTCGTCCGTACCTGTATAAAACTACTGAGTGAAAAAATTTACATTTTCGTTACTTTTTACGTAAAAAACGTCTCTTGGTAAAAATTGCTACTAGCAACCGTTCTCAAGATATTTAGTATGGAAATAGTCAATACATATGTCATTTATTGACAAAAAATTAACACGTTGAGTAGATAGTTATTGACAGAAATTATACATTTCTGTCAATTTTTGATTTTTTTTAATTAATCATAAATTTTTCTACGAAAATATGATGATAAAATAGTTTCTGTTGAACTTTTGGCACAACAACATTTTAAATTTATAATTTCAGTCTAATAACCAATTAGTGAACAGTAGTGTTTAATTTATGTCAATGATGACAGGTATTGATAATTTCGACTCCAAATACCTCGAGAACCATTTACATTAAAGTCTCATGAATTCAACAATTCAACAATCTTTTTTTTTTAATTAATTATTTATTTAGTCATCCATTCATACTACTTTCATGATTGACAAAAAAGTTATAAAAATAATGAAGTAGAAATCTTGACTTTCGCATATTTTTCTTTATGGTAATCTATACTAATATATAAAATCCTTAAATGACTGACGCACTGATTAATCACGATCCTGCTCAAACCACTCAACGTAAGAAGCTCAATTTTGGCATACAAGTTGACTCTAGGGTGTAGAGGGTCGATAAGAAAGGATTTTTCGAAATTCCAGTTCCAAAAGGGTGAAACCACCCCTCAAATATTACAATGTTTTTTATTTAAAAAACGGTCAAGTTTCCGAAAAAACGCTTAAACACGCATATTTTATTTTATTTTTTACTTTGCAGCTAGACTACACCAAGCTATGGCCAAGAGTGGGCCCATCCCCAACATGGCACTTAACAAACCTGACGGAAGTTGCACGAAAGGAGATGAAGAGAGAGCTAACCTCCTACTTCATACACACTTTCCAGGTAGCATATCTATTGATACGCAAGTAGCTCCGACCGAACCCCACAATCCTCGCAGGGAAGACTGGGAGACGGCCAAGCTAGTAATAACAGAACAAAAACTGAAATGGGCTATTGACACCTTTCAGCCTTATAAAAGAGCAGGAACAGATGGGATTTTTCCTGCCCTTCTAAAGAAGGGTCAGGAAATAGCTACACACCATCTATTAAACATTACAAGGAGCAGTTTAGCGATGGGATATATACCAACCATCTGGAAAAGAGAGAAAGTCATCTTCATACCCAAAATAGGCAAAATTGACTGGGCTAACCCGAAATCATTTAGGCCTATTAGTCTCACATCGTTCGTATTAAAAACGGTGGAAAAAGTAGTGGACAACCATATTAGAGTAAATCATCTACAGGTTAAACCACTGCACGATAGTCAGCATGCATATAGAGCGGGCAGATCCACAGACACTGCTCTGTACCAGTTAACTGAGCTAATACAGGCAAGCCTGGATAGCAAAGAAACAGGACTTTGTGCCTTCTTGGACATTGCAGGGGCGTTTGACAATATACCTCACAAGGTGGTCAAGCGATCTCTTGAAACAAGAGGGGTGAACAGTACGATAATTCGCTGGTTTTGGGAAATGCTCTCAACACGAACAGCAGAGGCTGAGATAGGTACCAAAACTGTAGTAGCTAAAACAACGCAAGGAACTCCACAAGGAGGAGTGACCTCTCCCCTACTCTGGAGGTTGGTAGTGGATGAACTACTGGAAGAATTAACTCTAGCGGGAATACACTGCATAGGGTATACAGATGACATAGTCATCATTGCACGGGGGAAACATGAAGGCACCCTGTATGATATTATCCAAAGAGGATTCCGCATCGCTGAGAGATGGTGCAGGACTGTCGGGCTGAGTATTAACTCAGATAAAACCGCAGTAGTGCCATTCACCAGAAAGCGAAGTTTGAAAAACTTGAAAAGAATCCATCTAGATGGGCAGAAAATACCGCCATCACAGGAAGTAAAATATCTGTGTATAACCCTGGATAGTAAATTTCTCTGGAACAGGCATATTAAGAACATTATCAGCAAAGCCACAAAGGCTCTCATGATATGCAAAAGACTGGCGGGAAATAGGTGGGGCTGCGCCCCTAACATTTTGCGCTGGATGTATACCATGATAGGAAGACCCATGATTACTTATGGAGCAGTTGCTTGGTATACAAAACTAGAGCAACGTACAGCAAGGCAAAATCTGTGTAAAGTGCAGAGACTGGCATGTATTTGCATCACAGGTGCCATGAGAACATGTCCAACAACAGCAATGGAGGTCATTCTAGACCTAACACCACTGCATATTGTCGTCGGTAGTTATGCCAATGCGACAATGATTAGAATGGTCATTGACGGAAACACTACTGGGAGAATTTTCAGGTCAGGGGCTTGGAACACCCTCAAAAAGAAAATTCCACTTCTCCAACTCCCAGTTGATGACATACCAAGAATTTACAACTTTGAGAAACACCTCACTGTAGTATTGAGTAATAAAAAGGATTGGAAGAAAGAAACGCTTACTCTGCATATAAAAGACCATACCATCACGTGGTATACTGATGCTTCCAAAACCAAAGCAGGGATAGGGATAGGAGTATTTGGGCCGAAAACTAAATACTCTGAACCAATGGGCACCTACCCCAGTATCATTCAGGCAAAGATTTTTTAAAAATGTATACAGGGTGTTTCGAAAAATCTGATCATTGATTAATCACGATCCTGCTTAAAGCGCTTGACGTAAAAAGCTGATTTTTGGAAAACGGATTGACTTTAGGGTGTAGAGGTTCGATAAGAACGGATTTTTCGAAACTCGAATTCTAAGGGGGTGAAACCATCCCTCAAATATTAGAATATTTTTTATTTAAATACCGGTGAGTTTTTCGGAAAAACTCTTAAATACGTATATTTTATTTTGTACTTTTACATATTTTAAGATTTTTTAAAAATTTATACAGGGTGTTTCATAAAATATGACCATTGAGTAATCACGATTCTGCTTAAACTGCTTGACGTTTAAAGCTGATTTTTGGCAAACGGGTTTGGGGTGTAGAGATTCGAGAAGGAGGGGTTTCTCGAATTTCAAATTCCAAGAGGGTGAAAACGCCCCTCAAATATTACAATATTTGCTATTTAAAAAACGGTTAGTCTTTCGGGAAAACGCTTGGACACCCATAATTTATTTTGTTTTTTACATATTTTGATTTTTTTTTAAATCCTACGTTAATTGCACCTCATAAAAAGTTGAGTAATTGATTAACCACGATTCTGCTTAAACTGCTTGACGTAAAAAGCTTATTTTTGGCAAAAGGATTTTTCGAAAGTCAAATTCCAACGAGATGAAACTACCCCTCAAATATTACCAAGTTATATAATAATATCGCCATATTGTTTTTTTTCTCATGCTGACATAAATGTGAGAAAATTTTATCCAGTTTGTATGTTAATGGAAATTCTTTCTTTGCTTTATCATCACCATTACAAATGATTAATTAATTCGATGCGAATGAAGTCGCGGGTACACGCTATAGTTATTTATATTATTTCTAATTTCAATAGTTCTTTTTTGGCAACTTTTACGATAGATATGTAATATAAAATCAGAAAAATCATTAGAAAATAAATACTCCAATATAAAAATGCAATTCCTTAACTACTGTACTTGTTTTTTTTTTAGTAACTAATAAGAGATTAAGCACTTAAGATAGTACCTAAAATAAAATTAAAATTAATATTTTACGATAAAACTTAAAAATATTTTCTGCAACATATGCATTTTCATTAGAATTGTTTCCAGAAAAATTTTCAACAATTTACCAATTTCTGCAAACTCGTCAACACAAGATACGGAAGCCATGAAATTCCTAAACTAATTTTCGGTTCCTTGCAAAATTGGGAAAACCACTATTTTTTGTATATCCGTTCAAATAACAGAACTTTTCAAAACCCGGTTTGTTTAAACTGATAAAATACGCAACCGCACAGAACAATTTACTTACTGAATATTTAGTCGTAAAAATATGTTATCGTTCGAAGATTTGTTTTGCACAGGATGGTACTTGCGAAAATTTCGCAAGTTGTGCATAGCTTAAATACTGGTACAATCAAAAATGTAACGATGAAGTTCGCTTTGACTATATTGTTATAACAGTTAAAAAAAATTTTGATCGTATTGTATTTCATACATGGTATCTACACAATAAAAAAAACTATCTTCATTTTATACAGGGTGTAAAAAAGCGCACCAAACTTCAGTTGGGTCATACTAAAGATAAGAAAAAAGAAAAAGTTCCAGTTGAAAGGGTAGATAAAAATACTTTTATCCATAGCAATTGTTAGAATTGCCTTCTTATTATTCAAAACTGACTGATTTCGACCCCAGAAACACGATTATGAGTTTTTTTTCGCGATTTTTTTTTGGAGATGTAAGAACATTTTTGATAGTTAACTTAGATAACTACGTATAAAAATATGCTGTAAAGATTTACAAAATATATTACAAGTGAGAATTGGAAGAGGTGTAAAGCCTTTCTAGAGCTGTAACTTCCTCAGAATTAATATTTTATTTTTATCTGTGGTATCAACCACTAAAGTTTGATACAGTATTTTTTCACA